AAGTTTGAATCCATTATATATTAAAGCTACTCAGAGTGGAGGAAACATCCTGACATATCCAGGAACAGATGGACACTGTTTAAAAACCAAGACCTCTCCAAGCTTCAGTGACCCTTGATGTTTCATAATTAATTATTTAATATGGACAATTAATCAAATATTGTAAAATCTGGCCATTTTGTTTTGTTTTATTTTCAAGACAGGGTTTCTCTGTATAGTCCTGGCTGTCCTGGAACTCACTCTGTAGACCTGGCTGTCCTTGAACTTAGAAAACCACCTGTCTCTGCCTCCCAAGTGCTGAGATTAAAGGGGTGCGCCACCACTGCCTGGCACATCTGACCATTTCTATACCTTAGAAAGTAAGCATTTTATGTTTCACATTGTAAAAAAAGGTTAAGGATAAGTTAAAAGCACTTACTTATCTTTATTGTGGGGACATTATATTTAAGATTTGTTTTTATTACTTGTGTATAAGTGTAAATGTGTGTAGATGCCCAAAGGGGCCATAACAAGGCCCCTTGTTTTGGAGCATAGTTCTAGATACACATGGATACTAGACACTGAACATGAACCCTTTGGAAGAGCAGAATGTTTTTATCCTCAGTGCAATTTCTCCAGTGACTGATACTTTTTTATGCTTTAGTATGAAGATGTGTCTATTCACAAAATTTGGCTCCCCTTAATAATTGGGAGTTTGACAAGAACAGACTATTGTAATCATTTTCTTAGAGTAATGTGGAAACTTGAGTTGTTTTTTGTTTGTTCATTTGTTTTATCTCTTCTGTTACAAGAAAGACATTAATACCAGAAGAGAATCCCAATGATTTAACTCCAGATTAACAAATATTATCATGTACTTATTAGATTGTAAGCATTGCACCTAGAATAGAGCAACAATTTAAAACTGTCCTAAGATGTTTTCATCTCAATGCCAGGAAAGTCTAGTGAAGGTCTTTCCAGTCTTAAGGATCCTCTTAGAGGTCAAAAAACCCACTCTTAGACAATGAAAGTAACTTTAGATGTCTCACTGTTTTATCTACAGTAGTAATTTTAAGTTTCCCTAAAGGCTCTCAGTAACGTCTGCTTGGACCACACTGGGTGTCCACATGTAGTGGGAGAATAACATTTACTCTTCCTGTTTCTGTGACTTATTTTTCTTTGTCCATGAATCTTCATGGACAAAGGAACATGAATGGATAAGAACAGAAGGTGTCCTGCTGCCCTAATGCTACAGTAGCCACCATAGGGCTGAAAGTATTCTCCTCACTTCTTGGAAACTACTTATTTTTTAAGAGTACTTACCCATATCTAAGGAATCCCTCGGTTGTTGAAATGGCTGATTGTGTGAAGACATTTGCCACTGATCTCAATGAACCTGAATTTGATTTGACACTGAGTGATACCTGCAGTGTAAGGGAAGAATCAAGTCCTTTAGGTTGTCCTCTTACTCCCTCTTGTCATGTGCCCCTTGACACATAAGCATACATGTGCACATGAAGACATTTTCACAATAATAAATAACTTCTCACTTTTAATTTTTGAAATTAAAGCATGTATGCATCATTCCTTCAGTTACTTTAGCCCCTCTCTTCCTATGTTCAGCCCACTCAACCCCGGGTCACTCCACCCTAACCCACCCCACCACCACTCCCTCTCACATTAACAGCTTCCTTTACTTTAATTCTTCTACATTCATAAATTTCAAAATGCATCTTGTTCAAGCTGTCTAGTGTTACTTGTATGTATATGATGTCTACCTGTAGTGTTTTTTAATTTAATTTATCTATTTACTTTCCAGCTATTGCCCCCCTTGCAGTTCCCCTCACAGTTTCTCATCCCATTGCTCTTCCCCTTGCCTCACATCATAGCATCAGAAACAGTGTCAGGTTTTGGTGCCCCCATCCTTCCCATGAGACAGATCCCAATTTGGGCCAGTCATTGGACCACCTGTCCTTCAGTCTCTTCTCCATTTTGTCCCTGCAGTTCTTTTAAACAGAAAAAATTCTGGGTCAGAAATTTTGACTCCAGGTTAGTAACCCTGTCCATTTACTTGAGGCTCTATCAATCTACTGGAAATGGACCTTTCAAGTTCCCTTTTCCCATTGTTGGGCATTTTGGCTAAGATCACCCCAATTGAGTCCTGAGAGCCTATTCCCCCACTTGCCACCTCCTGAGCCTGCATCTTTCCATTCATTCTCCTGGCCTTCTGAGATTCTCTCCTGTTCCCCAACCTGATACCTGATCTTGTTCCTCTATTCCCCCCCCTTCACTTTCCCACCTACGTCCCTCCCTCCCTGTGCATCCCATGATTATTGTCTTTCCCCTTCAAAGTAGGATTGATGCTGTAATTCTTTGTTTATGGTTGAGCATCCATGAGATTTACCCCTTCCATGTTCGCATGTTTATATTGATATTGTACGTGTTTGGGTCCTGTTTAAGAGACCATATTATTGGGGTGTCAAAAATGAATTTTCCCTATCATTTCTAGGATACACAACCTCAAGCAGATTTCCTGGTCCCGAGAGCATTTTTTATTTCCTCATTTTAGCAAAATAACTATCTGCTTATTTTTAATAAATTATTTAGTGAGTATTTATGCATACTTAATATACTTAAATAAACATAAATATATTTGAGTACAAATTAATGCATAATTTTAGTGAACAAGTCCAGAGGATGTTGTAAGAATTTTATTTAAGTCATATGATGTTATCTGTTATTAACACATACATGGACAATATTAACAAGGGAAATGTGCTGAAGAGTGGCCCCAGGTCGCTTGCTCATGCTTCAGTGGGTGGCCTTACCACCATGTGTAGATTGGCAGACTCAGTGAATTTTTAATATATATAAATAAGAAGACATACATACATTTGGGTGCAAAGAAATTGGGGAGAGGAGAAGTTAGGGGAGGAGTAGGGGAGGAAGAAAGGCTCGATAAAATAAATGTTTATCAAATACATGTATAGATTTTTCACAGAATAAATAAATAACAAATATTTATATTAGGCCATAAGCATTTGTCTAAATACTTAGTAGAGAAAGAAATGTGACATTTTTAAAGTCAAATTGTGTATTGTTTATCAAGCCTAAGATAAATGAAAATTAAAATGTTAAAGTTAAATTAAATAATCAGAAATCCTTTATGTGTAATAAAAACATATGACACAGAAAACTTTAATATATTCAGCAGTGACCAAAAAAGAACCTTGGACATTTTTCTTAAATTAATCTAGCTCTATGTGAGAGATATTTTTTGAATATAAGATTTTACACTGACGGCATCATCTTGCCTACTTTAGGAGTGCCTTTAGGATGCGGTCCAAGTGTGCACTCCAAAGCTCCTGGCTTCTCATTTGTGATTTAAATCTTCTACAGCTCTACGTGGCTCCATGTCCTTTAAAACCCTCTTCTGCAGTGTTGTTTCTCCTAAGTAAGGCTTCCACTGATAGTCTGAGTCTGACTCTGACAAGGGCCTGAAATGCTCGTATCCTGTGCTACTGATTAAGCAAAAGTCTCCATGCTTTCAAAATCAGCTCAGGTCATGGTAGGGTTGACAGCCCTACTACTAGAAAATGCTTCTCAGATATTGAAGACAAAGGTACAAGTTTCTATTGGCACCTTAGGTGATGACATTCTGAAGTTAGTAGCTACAACTTTACCCTTAGAATGATTTTTAATATTGGTTTGCATAATTTAAAGAGGGCATTAATTGTAGATAATTATGCTAGCTTAATTTTAGCTAATATGTAACCTAAAAATTAGGGAATCATACTTTAGTTCCAGCTTGTCTTTACTAAATTGTGTGTCCTTGACTAAAATATTGCAGCCTTATGACACAGTTTCATCATCTGCAAGAAAAAGGCAATGAGTATGTCTTAAATTGCTAATGTGTTGGTGGTTTGAAACCAATGACTGAGAATCATTTTAATGACGGACTGGGTATTAGGTCTATCTTGTGCCTTACTGATACAAATTGGTATAGTTATGCTCTAATTGTAGTTTGAGAGAAAAGATTTTTTTTAAATTTTAATACGACAGGTGATATGTAGGAGGAGCTAAGGTGGGAGGAGTAAGGAAAGGAGGAGAATGGGAGGACGAGCTAGGAGATGAGGGAGCAAGAGAGAGAGAGAGAGAGAGAGAGAGAGAGAGAGAGAGAGAGAGAGACAGAGAGAGAGAGAGAGAAACATGGAGGTAGATGTTTGCGTGTCTCTGCCAGTCAAAGGTAGTTGGTATATCTAGGTTGAATATTGGGTTACACTTCTGATTATATGAGCACCTTGTTATTGAGCATTGCCAAACTTATAAAGCCTTTGATTAACATTTTTTTAAAAAGTTACTAATAAAAAAAAAGAACACTGATTGCTTTGATTCCTAGACCCCGTGTCAGGTGGCTCATGGACACACTCTTCTGGCCTCTGCAGGTGCTTCAACTTGGGTGCATCCTCCCAGCCCTCCAAACATGTAACTTAAAATAATAAAAATAAATAATCCTGATTTAAAAAAAAAGAATGGTTTTAGTGAATGCTTATTTTTCTGCCCATCCTGCTACAGAGATGGCTTGTATTGTGAGCATCTGTCATTTGGCTCCAAACAGACCTCATTGCTCTGATTTCTTTCATTATCAAAAGGGAGGGTTTCAGTCCTTGTTTTTTCTTGTGAAATTGGGAGATTAGATTAAAGGAGATATATCAGAGGACATGAGGGTGTGTGCTCTCTGGCAAGCAGCTGTGCACCTTCTCAGTGGCAGCCCCTGGGAAGAACGCAGTTCAATTCTCTTGCAAGTGTGTCTTTCAAAATATTAATTATCCATGAAAGAGATGTCTTAGAATTAGCCAGATGTCAAGATCTTCTTCTACTGCATGCAGCTTTTCAGAAATAGAATCAAAAGAAAGCAGCTGTTGTCCAAAGCACGTTCTTGAACAATGCCTGCTATGGAATTCTTTTCAAATGCTAGTGTTTTGAATTAATAAGATCTTTCTCCCCATTCTTCCTAACAGCACCAAGGAAAAATTGGAGTTAAGTTTAATGTTGGGACAGATGACATCGCCATTGAAGAGTCCAATGCAATCATTAATGATGGAAAATACCATGTAGTGCGCTTCACGAGGAGTGGTGGCAATGCCACGTTACAGGTGGACAGCTGGCCAGTCATTGAGCGCTACCCTGCAGGTAAGCGAGGGCTTATGGATCTGGGAAGTTTTATGAAAAAAACAGCTGGAAAAGCAGAGCAATGTTTGCGTCCGTTTCTTCAAATTGTAGTTTTTCTGAGAAACCATTAAGTATTTATTAGACTTTAGAGTCGTGTCAATGTAATGCTGTCCTAAACTGTTCTTGCTACTCTGTATAAATGGCATTTTATAGATGAATTTGAAGCCACACATTGTCTTTTGCAAAATCCAGAACATCAGTGCATCAGAAAAATGCACACATATAAAAGCACAATGCGTCAAAGCTTTTTACTGAATCTTTGCATTTGAACAAAGGAAAGGCTTTGTCAAAACTAACAGTTAAAATTTAAATTCAAGGGAAGGAATATTATAACACTTTTTTTGAGAGCAAATAAAGCTGTTCTTTGACAGTGGCACACAACAGAGACTTACAAATCACGTGAGGAGAGCAGGGGGCAGGCAGAGATACACTGAGGAGTCAGATGAAAAGAAACACTGCACCACAGATCTGTACCTAGGAGTAAGGGAAGTTCATTTCATTTTAATATAACTATAGTGATTCACAAGGACTCTGGGATAATAGTGTCACTCAGCTGAAGTCTGAACAATGTTCTCTTTCTCTACAGCACAGTTTATGACACAGTGTAAATAGAAACATTAAATCGATTTATATTTCATGCAATAAAACTAATGAGAAGAATGAATACAGAAGCAACTTCTTTGTTGTAATTATTTGCTTATTAGAATAAATAATTTGATTAAATAATTTATCAATTATACACCAGTTTTCTCTGAGAATAACCCATAATGAAGAAATCTAACTTCCTTGACACCTGTCTGAGCTTCTTCTGACTTCTATAATTCTCTGATTTCAGTCCTAACTTGTTCATTTGTTCTGCAAATATGTGATGAATTAAATGTAACAAAACACACTTCTTTATGATAACATTTAAAATCAAGAAAATAAAGAACACATCAGAGAATTACGAAATACTGACAAGCTACAGACATTCAATAAGTGTTCATTAAGTTGTATTCTGGAAAATATCAAGGCCAACCTGGACTGCATAGTGAGCTCCAGGAAAGCTAGGACTACACAGAGAGACCATGTCTCAAATGATAAATAAAAAGAAAGAAAGAAAGAGAAAGGGGTAAAGAGGGAAAGATAGGATGGGAGGAAGAGAGAGAAGGGAGGAAGGAAGAAGGAAGAAATGAAGGAAAGAAGGACGAGAGAAAGAAAGAGAAAGACAAAGTGTATTTAAAGATTGGAAGCTGATAATGAATAGGAAACAAATATTTAGAAACAATTGTCATAGTTATAATCTTTTATATCTACTATATCTAGACACCTACTCTAGGTGCCCATTACTAAAAAGTGCTTTAATTAATATTAGTAAATGAAGATTAAGCCAAGTTCCAGTTGTTATTGTTCAGGACACATGCAATAGCTGGTATATAAGATAGAGCACTCATGAAAAATTTCATGTGTGCTGCACATATGAAAATGCATGGGAAAGCGTTATCCACATAAACATGTGAATTTCTGCAAGTAATGCACACATGAGAACTTAATGTTGTAAAGAACACAGAGACCTCCCCATTATGCCATCTAATTGCCCACCCATCTCCCCTGTGTGCACTTCAGCATGATGCTAACGAAGGGGAAAACATAAGACTTTCAAATATGTGTTTCTCTTGGTGTCTCACCAGCAGCAAAGCCATAAGGGTTGAATATAAATTTCAAAGTGTAGGTGATCTAGATTAAAGATTTTAGAACAAAGTAATTTTAAATATGAGTTCAATAGGATAGTCTGGTATATATCTTTTATATCAGCTTGTGGTTTCTATTTTTATTTTAAAAATTTAGGAGGTTTTTATTCATTAGAAAAGCCACTAGACTAATGCTTTTACCACCAAATCCTATAATCAGAGAAGCAGGAACGGAACCAACAGACTACATTTGCTTCCTTTTAAAGTGCCTGCACTGCAAAATACAAGGCTAGAAATTAGTAATTAAGGATAGCACTTAACCTTCCATTATAGGCCTTTGTGGTAAGTGCTTTTATATGAAGCAATTTGTCTGGTAGCGACACTACACCTTTAATGAAAAGTCCCTAAAGCATTGACCAGGGTATTACCCTGCAATTGTCAGGAAAGCTTTCATACAGAAACTAATTAGGAGACATAGATTTTAGGTTCTTTTGGAAATGCAATATTCCTACAAACCAACAATTCACATTTAAGAATAAATATTGAAATTTCTGTAAACCTATTTTCAATTATTTTGTATGTGAAGCAAAGTACAGAAATAATACTTTGCAAATCCTTTAAAGTTGAGAAAATTGTTTCTTATTTCATGTCACTTAAAGTTCTAGAATATAATCATCATTAATCTCTGATTTGTTCATAATTACAGTTATGTAGCAAAGTGATCTCTCTCAGTAAAAATAGGCCTCTTCTTCTCATGTTACTGCACAAAGCCTTATGCCATTTTGCTACCCCCAACTCAAGATTATTCCTAATTAATTAGTTTAATTGGGAAATAAATTTTGGCTTCATATGTGAAAAACACCTTTCGTATCTTTACAAAGTTAAACAATGATTTTATTTCCATAAATACATTAAGCCTAGCTATACATATGTAAAGAATGTATATACTACATTAAAGGAACTTATTATGATCCTTGTTTGACAACAAGACAATTTTTAAGTATTCAATTAGAGAAACATGCATGGGGAAATGTAAGGGTTATTACGTATTTAGCTAAGAATGTATTAAAAAATAAGAATACAGATTTGAAAAAGGACACAACAGATTCCCAGAAAGAAAGATTGTTTTGCAATGAGTGGTATAAGGAACCAGAAACAAAATATGGGTCTTTTCAAGCAATAATTTATTGGTTGGAATTAGCAGGTAGAGATGGAGACTGAAAAATATTCATGGCCCCGTTAAATAGCTCATATGCTAAAGAGAAAAGATAAGAATGAGTAAAAAGGTTAACAGAGTGAGTACAGAGTGCATTGTAAGTGCTTGAGAACAATTAAGGAAGAGCTGTTTTCGTTTTTAAAATTTCTCTTCTTCCTTCTCCTCCCTTCCTGTCCCCTCTTCTCTTCTGTCTGCTACTCTCCCTCTCCTTCCCCTTCCTCTCCTCATTCCCTCTTTTCCCTTCCCTTTTCCTCTTTTCTCCTTTGAGATTTTCTCCACCTTTCCTTTCCCTCTCCACTCCCTGTCTCTTGCTCTCTCATTTTACTATTTCAACATTCAGCAGCCTAATGTCATGGTGTTTCAGGAGGGGGCAGTAGATAGCACTGAACTGGAAATCTGTGGCAAGAGAGATAGAAACAAACAAATGTTCTTGATCCCTAGAATATCTGGCTTGGAAAACAAGAAGGATATTGAACACCTACTAAAATTAAATGAAAATTGCTATTGGGGTTTGAAGAAAGGAACAAAGGAAGGTCTAGAGTATTGTAAGGAAGCCAATCCTTTAGGCAAGGGAGAACTTGAGAGAAATAACCCCAAGGAAGATTTCATGGGATAGTTCAAGTTCATTTTTCTAACTATCTAATTTGGCTGAAGTCTTGTAGGTTTTAGCTAGGCACTCAATCTATATTTATTGTCTAAATCTGATAAAATTTAGGTCATGGGAAAATTTCAGGTCTTGGGAAAGTCACTTATCATTTCCATTCAGTTCAACCCATTTATTTAGATAAATTGGTTACTCATTTTTTTCTTTTTTCTTTTTTTTTCTTTTCTTTTCTTTTTTTTTTTTTTTTTCGAGACAGGGTT